GTTACCCTCAGTTTTAACTAGTTTAATTTTTTGAAGGCATGGGACTCGGCAGTAGCATACCCAAGTACTGCTTCTATACCCCTTTATCTTTTAAGAATTACTCCCTACTACGGAGTATTTCCTTTGTTGATTAGCGAGCAAGGGGATGAGATACTTAGGCCCCGTTTAGTACGCGAACTGGAATTGAAGACTACAATTCTAGTTCTACTGTTTGGTAGCACAAAAATATGTGGATTTGGAATAGGTAGTGCTAAGAATGAATTGAAATTAGAGAATTCAATTCCATCCAAATCAATTCCACAAAATTTTAACTCCAATTAAATTCCAATTCTGTCAATTCTGTGTACCAAACGGACCCTTAGTCAAACAAAATTTGAAATTATTTGAAATCATAAACCAGACTTGATACATACGCTATTGCTTTTAAAATAAATTCTAGTGTTTATACTGTTTAATTTCATGAATTAAAAAAGTATTTAAAATTAAAAAGAGTGAATTCATGGTTAAGATATTTTGGAGTATTACATAAGAGAAAAAGGTTTTGTGACACGTATTTTATTCTTAAAAAAGAAAAAATGGTGTTAAATTTATTTTGAGACAATAAAAAAAGTGCGAGTGAAATTCATTTCTTGATTTAAGCATGTAAAATTTATACATCGCACTTGAATAGCTTCTTGAGACAATGTTTCATTCAATTTATTTTTTCTGCTTACTTATTCTTATTAAAAACAGATAAAATCTTATCAGATTAGATCCAATAAAATCAGATCCTATTATTATTATTCTTGTTGTTGTTGTGGTTGTTCTTGTTGTTGTTATTGTTGTCGTTGTTATCACAACCAAACATTTGATATTCTTATATTCTTCTCGCATTTTTTTCAATGTCGAATTCAAAGCTAGTGGTCATTACATAACCGTGTGGAGCCATATATAGCTTGTCTTAACCATAAATTTCTTTTTTTTTTCTTTTAAATTTAAGAAAAAAAATGTAATATTCATTTCATCCCATAAAACATTTATATTGATATTTTGTGGTATTCCGTATAAATTTATTATGTAAGATGTAAAAAAAATGTAATTTTTTGTAGAATAACATTCATATTTTCTTAATGATGGAATATTTTAATAATAATACTCTATATTTTTTTATATTGAATATTAAAAAAGTGAAATCGGTTTAAAAGTTATTAGCAAAAGGTATAACACCCTAGAAATCGATTTAGAAGTTATTTGATAATTAAATAAATAAGAATTATTTATTTATGACAATTTTGTTTTTTAAAGAATTAAAAGATACTTTAGAAATTCTAATCGTCTCAATATAACGAGACTAATCTGACTCTATTTGTAAAGGTTTAAATTAAAAAAGTGATCAGTACTAATAAGTCGAGAGAATTAAGACGAACCAGTTGGAATCTAAAAATACTCGTTGAATGATTATAAAAGTTATATCGTTGGGTATAGATCGACAAATCAAATCCAACGACACGAACGGATCTCATTTCAGAGCAAGTTGGCCCGAAAAGTGTGTTTTTACTAAGACACGTCATTTTAAATTATGGAGTACAAAACCCTAGACCTTACGCGGCTATCTTCTTCTCCCCCTCTTCTTCATTGAAACCTAGCACCGCCACCAACCCCTTTCCTCATTCTTTTGTCCTTCGATCGGAAACAAGAACCAGGCCAACGCTGTCTCCTCCTATCCAACTCAGCGGCGAGGCGGAGAGAATTAATCCGAGAGAAACAATAATGCATGTGAAGTGCGGCGACGACAAACCCACATACCCCTTCCGCGACGAGTTTGGACGGCAGTCAGGTCAGCGACCCACCTTTGCACTGACAACCCCCTCTATGCACGACGAGTGAAGCCACGTGATTGGCGACGAACCCAGTAGCTCTCCGACGGTGATGATACAATCCGGCAGTGGGGTAAGCCAACGGCGAACTCCGGCAAATCTATAGCGGCGGGAGGGGGCATGGGTGACGTCTCCGGCAATCCCCTCCAATTTCTATCGACTTCTAATAGCGCCTTGGGTATTGCAGAGGGTTGACTTGCCATCGACGACGGTGTTCTGGCAAACAACCTCCAAAGACTCGGTGACTCCCTCCCGGCAATAGAGCAATCGGGCGACAGATGGCAGTTGTAATCTAGACAGCCGTACCAATTTGGGAAGCAGGTCTATTCTGACGATGGAATTTGAATGATGTTATTTTTGCAACACTCCAACCCGCATAACCCGAATAAATGGATTAGCGAACCGGGTTGCTACTAAATTGGTACCCACATACAATATTTTTCAACAAATTTTAAAAAACATTTAATTTAAAACTCAAACAGCTCAAATTAATTTAAATACATATCAGAGTTTATACAAACAGTGCGGAAGCCTTATAATTAAATCAAACATTAAATCTCTGCATCCGTACATCTCCTCCGTCATGATGCTCTCCGGGATGGATTCCAGAATCAATCTACCACAACCACCTACGTGTAGCAAATAGGAAAAACGGCTACACGCTCAGCATTGAAGCTAAGTGAGAAATATCTAACAGTTCGAACATACACATAGGTGAATCCACTAATTCACAATCATCACATGATATCATGCACACAACATGTTTGTCAACAATCACACGACATACGAGATATAACATGCATAATCAACTTCATAACAGTTCATAAGATACAAACAGTATCGGTATATGTATTAGGAACTTTCCTTTTTAATTTACTTTACTTTCCTTATCGTACTTGGCTCTTAACCTATACTAAGTTAAAGCTTAACTGAATTCGACTTGCCTATGGAGTCATGACCTTCCCCTTCGGAACCCCTTCGGAACGAAGGTCAAGCTCAAACCAACTCGGGAGTTCCTCATTGGCTGGGTGAGATCCCTGTCCCCTTCGGAACGACAGTTCTTAGATCCCCGTGTACACGTTTTTACCCGAACAACCATTGGACCTAGCAGGTACCACATGGCTCTAACTAACTGTACTTATGGCATACCTAGCCACTAATCCATTCAGGTCATTTCCTAGAGTTTTTCTAGGTGATATATCCAATATTCATTAATCAGTAGTTTCAGTACATAATACAACATTCATAAATCCACAATGCATTTAACAAGATATCCAACATAAGTCAAATAGCGGCCTAACACTGGGTGTAGACACCCATGTTTACCGTCATGCAACACACGGAGTCTCGGAATGAATCCTTGACGAAAACACAGATCGACAAACCCGGTATCAGGTACCTGTCACGGTACGGGGTACCGTCCTTACAGTACCGGGGGTACCGTCCAAATCAATGAACTCTTTCGGTAGGACTGCTACAGTAGCCAACTACCGACCAGGCAGTAGGGCCCACCGTCCGTCTGGTACCTAGGTACCGTACGGTTGCAGCTACCGACAGAGGCAGAGGAAACCAACAGAGGATGACGATAGCACGATACCGTCCTGGCGGTACCGCCTACCGTATGACGCAACAATATCCATATTCATACCTGTTTTGTTTTCAGCATCAACCAGCAAAAGTCTCATAACAACAAACACCAGTAAGTTCATATTAACATTCTAAACATTATCAAACACATTAATTCATCAATCAATGCCTATGTCATGCATACTACCCTTTTGATTTGACAACACCAATTCCCGAAACCATAACCAACAATTATACAGATAAACCACGATTTGGTTCAATTTGATTAGAGAGAGAACTTGACTCGAACGGAGCGTAGACGGAGTCACCCGTACCCTACTGCACAGTCCGGTACCGGTGCCCAAGCAAGCTCGCCACTGCTCAAGCCCGCCCGGATCTGTCATCGTTGCGGCTCAGTCTCATCTTCCTCTGTCTATGGTCAAAAATCACTGCCCGAATCTGACCTTCATGGCCCGGAGGTTGCCGGAGTTGCTGGGTCACCGCGGTTGTCGAGTCGCCGAAGAGAGGTCGTCGATCACCGCTGCGCTTTGCCAGAGTTTCTGCCCAGCCGCTTGAATTCGCCTACCATCTGCAGGCACCGCTGGAGATTGCCGGCTGTTCTCTCGTCATTCCTTAGAGGAATTGGCATCGACGGCGCAAGGTCGAGCAAAACCGCCGGTCGCTGCTGCTTATGGAGGAAGCTGCCAGAAATCGAGAGAGGGAGAGAGAGAATCCCTTGGTGCCAGCGCGCTGGCGCTGATCGGAGAAGAAGGAACGACGATGGGGGTCTGTGATTGGCGGCCTTGGCTCGATCGGAGAAGAAGAACGAAGAAGAAGACAGGGGGCGGCGTTGGAAATCTGTAGACGCATGAGAATAAGCCTAAGGTTTTGTACTCCGTTATTTAAAATAACGTGTCTGACTTTTCGGGCCCAATTGCTCCAATTTGAGATCTGTTCGCGTCGTTGGATTCGATTCATCGATCCCTACCCAATGATATAACTTTTATACTCAAACGACAATTATTTATAAGTTCCACCTGTTCCGTGTTAATTCTTTCGATTAATTAATAACGATCACTCTTCTAATTAAATCTTTACAAATATAATCAGATTAGTCTTGTTATATTGAGACGATTAGAATTTCTAAAATATCTTTTAATTCTTTAAAAGAGTAGATTGTCATAATAATTAATTCTTATTTATTTAATTATCGATTAACTACTAGACCGGTTTCTAGGGCGTTACAATTTTAAATTAAAGCAACGAGTCGAGGTGAGTACATGAACATCTAATACTAGAATGTGCATCTAGTAGGTTTGAAATTCCCTTCGTAATTGTTATCGTTGTTGATCTTTGTGATTTATGTGGTTTCGGGAAATGTTGTAGAATTAAAAGGGTAGTATGCATGACTTAGGCATTGATTGATGAATAAATATTCTTGATAATGTTTAGAATGTTAATATGAGTCTATTGGTGTTTGTTGTTGTTATGAGATTTCTGTTGGTTTGATGTTGAAAACGAAACATGTATGAATATGGAATCTGTTGTGTCAGACAGTAGGCGGTGACAGTAACGGATAGACTGTAGACCCTACTGCCGGGTCGGTAGTGGCTACCGTGGCAGGCCTACCGGCTGGGACTAGTTGGTTCAGACGGTACCCCCAGTTTGTAGGACCGGCACCTAGGTACCATGAGGACGGCACCATACCTGATGCCAGGTCCGTCGATCTATGTTTTCGTCAAGGATTGATTCCGAGACTTTGTATGTTGCATGACGGTAAGCATGGGTGTTTACACCTAGTGTTAGTGTTGGAACACGGGTTTACGCCTACGTCGTACTAAATTGTGTTCGTTTTATGACAGGTTTTGATAATGCCAAACCGCCGTGACATAACAAGGCTAAAATGAGCAAAACCAAGGCGAAGGAACATGGCATGATGATTTGAGAACCAAGAACCAAGAATCAAGAACGAAGAATTAGAATTGCATAGAGTCGGTCTTAATGTGATCAAGACCGGCACAAACTTTCAAATCTTGGCTCTCTAGGCTCATCCACCAAAATACTTTTTGCAAATTCAAAAATGTTTTTCATAAGTTTTAAACATGCCTAAAAACACTTGGAGTTCGCCCAAATAAAAAACCAAACCATCCAACGTTCGGCTTTCAGAAACCGGCGTTCGGCTTTCGGTTTTCGGCGTTGGTTTTTGGCGACCAAACCAACCAAGTGGTTTTCAACTTTTTATGATTGGTTTTTACTTCTGGGCATATTTAAATAGTTCTCCAACAAAAACGCTTCAAAAACCACCTTCCGTTTTAGGTCGTTTAGTGAAAACCATGCGAAACGGCTCAAACTTGGTTAGCCGTGGTTTTCAATTAAATGACGTGGTTTTTGAGATGTTTTACTTGATTTCTTAGCAAAATGCAATAAACAAATGTTTTCAATACTTGGGTTTTATTTTGGAGAACTTACATTTTTGACATCGGCTAACGGCATGACTAAACCAACCATGGGCCTGGCTAAACTAGCCCAACAGCGATGTTGGTGTAACCAACAGCGCTGTCTGGCTTGGGTAGCTAAAAACCATGGTTTGGCGTTAAGTCTTCCAACAGCGATGTTGGATATTAAACATCGCTGTTGAGCCAAGGTTGGGTTTCCAGAAACATCTGGAACAGCGATGTAGCCTTCCCTACATCGCTGTCCAACCTAAGCCAAAAATAAAGTGCATTGGCAGAATGTTTTTGGACAGCGATGTTGACCCAGCAACAGCGCTGTCAGGCCAAAACTCCACCTTCAAAGTCAGACCTAAACAGCGATGTTCAAGTATTGAACATCGATGTAGGGACCTAACCGTTGGAAGGAATTTAAGGCTAAAACTTTCCTTGTTTGGAAGTTAACAGCCAAAACAGCGATGTAGGAATACTGGACATCGCTGTTGGCATGACCGTTGCTTCCCAATTTTCAAAACCCAAGCCTAGAACAGCGATGTCCAAGCCTAGGACAGCGCTGTCTGGGTGAATTTCAGCAGATCCAAATTTAATCAAATCCCACAAATTGTGCCAATCACTCCTTATATGTTTTGGTCCGTTGGAGCCTATTTTTCTACTATAAAATGGGGTGTTTGGGTCTGTTTTACATATCACATAACTTCACAACTCCTACTCTTTCATTGCAAATCATTCATCCTTTATTCATCATAGCTTTTTGAGAGTCATTTTTGTGAAGCTTGTGTTGTGTTCTTGAGCGTTCTTAGTTACTCAATTATCCACTCTAAAAGAGAGTATTGTTCTTGAGTGTTTTTAGTGTTCTTAGACACTTGACAAGAGAAAATATTTCTCTTGTTGTTCGAAGGAAGGGTTGTTTTCCAAAACACCTTGTTTTCAAACAAAACCAGAAAGTTTTCCAACAGCGCTGTCCACCATTGCAACAACGCTGTCCATTTTTACAAATTTTTTTCTATCGTAAAACAGCAATGTAGGGAAACCCAACAGCGCTGTTCTAATGGGTTCAAACCCTTACACATTTCCAGAAACTTTTGGAACATCGCTGTAGGGTACCAAACATCGCTGTCCAATTGACTCCTGTTTTTTTTAAAACTTGACGCAGAACAGGGCTGTACAAGGTCACAACAGCGCTGTCCTAATAGCGATGTCCCCTGTAGAACATCGCTGTTCTGGTCAAATTTTTCAAAAAAATACCGTTGGCAACTGCATTAAAAGCTCCAACAGCTATTTTTTCAAGCTTTTGAACGTTAGGAACTCATTCTCCTATATATTTGGACCCCCTCTTGCATATTTCATCCTCACAATTTTTTTTCCAGAATTCTCCACTATGGGTAGAGACAAGAGCAGGGCTGCCACCTCCAGGAAATCAAAGTCCAAATCCCGGGCGCCTGTGACGTCCTCCGAGGAACGCCTCTACTACGGCGATGGGTCGTACCTCTGGTTCGATTCCGAGGAGGAGCGCACCCGCTTTCTCACCTTCTTCTCTAAACGGGTTGTGGCTCCCCCACGAATCGTCCCGGAGCGCTTCCCGGAGTTGCAGGGATACGACGACTTAGACGCGCAGCTTCATCAAGCCGGCCTTTGGCCGTTCGTCTCCCGGGCTCGAAAGGAGATCAACCCGGCGCTGATCTGGGCCTTCTACTCCAACCTCCGGCGTGAGGACGATGTCATCTACAGCCTCGTCAAGTCCACGCCGATTGATGTTATACCCAAACCGGGGGTCTAAACGAGTTGCTATTTTAAGGAGGAATCAAGGGATGATGCAGCTTGAGTTCAAGGTTCAGGAGCAGGTGATAATCGATTATGGCTAGGTGATAATCGATTGTGGAGCTGTGCGGCTAAAACCCAGAAACTTCAGGGAAGGGAGATAGTCGATTATCAGTATATGATAATCGATTATTTGGGCTCGCAGTTTATTCCAAGGGAATTCAGGAGGGCAAGATAATCGATTATCTTGTTTGATAGTCGATTATAACAGCAGTCAGGATCCAAAATCTGGGTGGAAAGATAGTGGTGCTTGCGTGGGAATGGCTAGGATTTGTGGAGATAATGAGGGAGTTCTTTTGGGTATTTTAATGGAAGAAAGAGTAAGATTAAGAGGAGAAATGGGGAGATATGAAATGGGAGAAAATCAGGGATGGATAAACCAAGTTGGTGTTTAAGAGATATTACACACTCTTATCCTAACTTGGGGTTTGAATCTAGAATTTAATTAAGATATGACACACTTAATCAAATATCTAGAACCTAAAACTCACACTTAAGATAACCACTCTTAAGATATAGAATTAGGAATTTAGCTAAAATAGCATCAAACTATTTTATAAATACTCAAAGAGTAAAATGTTTTAATATTCAAAAGATGTGTTACGCTTAGGCAGGGTTCTAAGTCCGTTGAAGAATACAACCGGGAGTTTGAAGAGCTCTTGTTGAGATGTGACTTACAAGAAGATGACGAACAAACCTTTGTTCGTTACCTATTTGGCTTAAACCTACAAATAGCCCACACGGTGGAGTTGCAAAGTTATGACTCTCTTGAAGAACTCACAAAGTTGGCCCTCAAAGTTGAAGCTCAACATAAGAAATCCAAAGTCTTTCTCTCCAAAAATAACACCCCTTCCCCACGGCCCTACTCCTCCACATCCAAACCACCTTACCCTTCACCAAAATTACCTTACACTACCCCCAAAACCCCACTACTGCCCACGGCCCAAACCCCTCCTCCTCCTCCCCATCTACCTCAAGAAACCCTTCCTCCTCTTTCACACCCCGGGCTGATCCCACCAAGAAAGCACCTGTTTGCTTTCGGTGCCAAGGACGAGGTCATTATGCCAATGAATGTCCTAATAAGAAGGTGATGGCCATTGTCGAATGTGATGAAGAAGACTTTGACCCAACTTGGGTTGAAGAAGAAGCAGAAGAAGTGGAAGAACAAGACGAGTACGTAGGTCCCGATGATGGTGAACTCTTGGTCATCCGAAGGACGTTGAGCACTCTAGCATGCTCCGAGGAAAAACTACAACGGGAAAACATATTCCACACCCGTTGCACTGTCCAAAAGAAGGTGTGTTCCCTCATCATCGATAGTGGAAGTTGCACCAATGTGGCTTCCAAAACCATGGTAGACAAGCTGTGTTTGAAGACGTCACCACACCCGAAACCATATACGATTCAATGGTTGAATCATGGCAAGGGTCTACGTGTTGACACACAAAGTCTCATTTCCTTGAGCATTGGCAGCTCATACAAAGACGACGTGTGGTGTGATATCATCCCGATGGATGCTTGCCACATCCTCTTGGGACGACCATGGCTGTTTGATCACTGTGTGCAACATGATGGTTATGCCAATACTTATTCATTTTTGATGAATAAGAAGAAGATCACCCTTACCCCTTTACCTCCTCCTACACCCACGGCCAAACCAACCAAAGAACAACCTCTCGTTCTTATCTCCACTATCCTTCAAGCGGAACAACATGAATTCAATGGGATTAAAGATTTGATCCTATTGGAAGATGGAGAAGCCGAACCATCAAACTGCCCAAAACAGCCTCATCCCTTAGCCGAGCCTATCATCCTAGAATATGCCCATGTTTTCCCCGATGATGTTCCACACAGTCTCCTTCCTAAACGAGACATCCAACACAAAATTGACCTCATTGCGGGGGCTGCCCTACCCAACAAACCAGCATACCGAATGAACCCCAAAGAAACGAAGGAAATTCAACGTCAAGTTGATGAGTTGTTAGCTAAGGGCTTCATAAGAGAAAGCCTTAGCCCGTTTGCTGTCCCGGCACTTTTGGTGCCCAAGAAGAATGGAACGTGGCGTATGTGCTGCGATAGTCGGTCTCTCAACAAGATCACTATCAAGTACCGGTATCCGATTCCCCGTTTGGAAGACATGTTGGACGAGTTACATGGCTCCAAGATCTTTTCAAAAATTGATCTTAGGAGTGGATATCATCAAATTCGAATCTTTGAAGGAGACGAGTGGAAGACAGCGTTCAAGACGAACTTTGGGTTATACGAATGGTTGGTTATGCCATTTGGATTAACCAATGCCCCGAGCACGTTCATGCGGCTTATGAATCAAGTCTTGAAGCCGTTTATAGGTCATTTTGTCGTTGTCTACTTTGACGACATTCTGATTTACAGCAAAAATGAGGAAGAGGCTAATCACCTCGCTTTGGTGATTAAGAAGTTGGACGAGGAGAAACTCTACGGCAACCTCGAGAAGAGCCAATTCTTTTCGTATGAAACAGAGTTCTTGGGATATTTTATCTCTAGTGAAGGCATACGGGTGGACGAAAAGAAGACGCAAGCCATTAGAGAATGGCCGACCCCAACCATTATGCAACTAGTTCGGAGTTTTCATGGCCTTGCCTCTTTCTACCGGAGATTTGTGAAGGATTTCAGCACCATCACGGCACCTATCACGGATTTGACGAAAAATCAGAAGTTCGAGTGGAACTCCAAGGCCCAACAGGACTTTGAAACAATCAAGGAGCGATTAACACATGCCCTCGTGTTAGCCCTTCCTAGTTTTGACAAACTATTCGAGGTCGAGTGTGATGCCTCGGGAGTTGGAATCGGGGCTGTCCTATCCCAAGAAGGGCACCCGGTGTCATATTTTAGTGAGAAGCTAAACGACACGAGAAGGAGGTATTCCACATACGACAAGGAGTTCTACGCATTGGTGCGTTCACTTGAGCATTGGCGTCATTACCTCGTGAGCAAGGAGTTCATATTACATTCCGATCATGAAGCGTTAAAATACATTCAAGGGCAGCATAAGCTCTGGCCCCGTCATGCTAAATGGGTCGAATACATCCAAACCTTCACCTTCACCATCAAGCACAAAAACGGAACCATGAACAAGGGTGCCGATGCCTTGTCCCGGAGGCACTTATTACGAACGGTACTTAGTACCAGACTTGTTGGCTTTGAATTTTTGCAGGAGCTTTACAAAGAGGATGAAGACTTCAAGGACACTTATTCCAAGTGCCTTCTTCGGCCACATGGAGAATTCCTAATCAAGGATGGTTTTCTATTCCGAGGCAACCAACTTTGCGTCCCGAAATGCAGCGTTCGAGAAACCCTTATTAATGAAGTTCACGGAGGAGGCCTAGCTGGTCATTATGGGGTCGATAAGACTCACATGATGATGAAGGAACACTACCACTGGCCAAGGATGGAACGAGACGTGGAGCACTTCATCAAGCGTTGCAACACGTGCCACCTCGCCAAAAGTCAGTCGCTGCCCCAAGGAAAGCATTTGCCCTTACCCATTCCCCTTGCTCCATGGGAAGATATCAGCTTGGACTTCATCACCGGGCTGCAAAGGACACAACGAGGCAAAGATTCTATCATGGTCGTCGTGGACCGGTTTTCAAAGATGGCCCACTTTGTACCATGCCTCACCACCTATGATGCTTCCCAAGTTGCTGATCTCTATTTCCGAGAGATAGTCAAACTCCATGGCATTCCCCGAAGCATGGTCTCGGATAGGGACACGAAATTCCTTAGCCATTTTTGGATGACCCTATGGAGAAAGTTGGGTACTAAACTGAAGTTTAGTACGTCGAGCCACCCACAAACCGATGGCCAAACCGAAGTCACCAACCGCACCCTTGGAACACTCTTACGAGCCCTCATTAAGAAGAACATCAAGCAATGGGAAGAGCTTCTACCGCACGCCGAGTTTGCCTACAACCGAACCCCAAACAAGACTACTGGGCTCTCCCCATTCACGGTGGTATATGGTTCGAACCCATTGACCCCACTTGAACTTGATCCGATCATCACGGAGACCAAATACAGTTGGGAAGCGGACAAGGGGTCAAAGGAAATCCAAGACCTTCACGCCAAGGTTCAAGACAAGATTGAGGCTATGAACGAGAAGGTAAGCGCATGCATCAACAAAGGAAGGAAGGACGTCCACTTCCAACCAGGAGACCTTGTTTGGGTTCACCTTCGGAAAGAGCGTTTCCCCACGAAACGCAAGTCAAAGTTGCTGCCAAGAGCCGATGGCCCGTTTGGAGTCTCAGAGAAAATCAACGACAATGCCTACAAGATCAACCTTCTGGGAGATTATGGAGTATCGGCTACTTTCAATATCAAAGACCTTAGCCCGTACTTTGAGCCTGAAGAAATGCCGAGTTTGAGGACAAACTCTTTTGAAGACCGGGAGGATGATATACCCCGGGTAACCACCAACGACTCTAAAGTCCTTAAACAAATCAACGGAATAATGGCCAAGTGTTATGATCCCTTCTAGAGTGAATTTATCACCATTAAAAATCATAACCTAACCATAATGTCCTTGGATCCTTCCCCACCATGAGGCCGAACCCCAACACTGGCTGAAACCACCCCACCCTAAATATCCAAACCAACCTTTAAAAAAACACAACCCAACCTTCCTCTTCTGCCCTCACCTTTGGCCGAAATACCCAAACCCAAAGCCCACACATTACCCCACCTTTTGAACCCACTTTAGATTAATAATCACAAT